CCTCATAGTTTTTAGATAAATAGGAAGGGATATTACTCAACTGATTTTATGGAACAAGTATTACACTCATTCCCAAAAGAGAATTCCAACAACAAAAAAGAATTATAAACCAATATTTTTGATGAACTTAGGCACAATAATTCTCAATAAAATATTTGCAAATCAAATTCAGCTTCACATTAAAAGATCATAAAACATGATCAAGCATATTGGTTTCTATGCTGAAAAAAAGAAATTCTCCCCATATAGAAATCAAACATAATGCAGGACTTAAACAGAATCAAAGTTTAAAAAATAGCATGATTACTTTAACTTATCCAGAAAAGCTTTTGACAAAGTTCAACATCCTTTTTATGATACAATTTCTAATGAGGCCTGGGAATGTGGCTTAGTGATAGTTCACTTAGCATGCATGAAGCCCCAGGTTTGATTTCTCAGTAACAGATAAACAGAAAAAGCTGGAAGTGGTGCTGTGACTCACGTAGTAGAGTGCTAGTCTTGAGCAAAAGAAGCTCAGGCACAGTGCCTAGGCCCTGAATTCAAGTCCTAGGACTGGCAAAAATAAATAAATAAAATTGCAATAACTAGTATATGTCTGAGACTAGCAGAAACGATCAGATAATTTGATGTTAGGTGAAATGAACCCCAAGATCAGGATTCAAATGTTTTTTTTTCTTTCTTTTGACTGTTTCTAACATATTTATAAGATGATTTTTTTGTTGCTTTGTATATCCCTCCCCCACGGTATAACACCTGCTTTCGCTGTGTTTCAGGTTGGTGTAATTTGTGGAGGGGAAGGGAAAAAACAAATCATTTAAATAGGGATAGAGTTGGACCCATTGCAACAATGAAATGTATAAGACATTATGTCAAAAAACGATCTTTACAACTATGGCCAGGTTGGGGTGGGAGGGAAGAGGGAGATGTTGGGAAATATGGGAAGGGATGGGAAGGGGAAACAAAGGAGGAGGCAACAATGCTTAATAAGAAATACACTCATTACCTTGCCCAAGTAATTGTCACCCCTCCTTACGGTATTTTCACAATTAATATATATATATATATATATATATATATTCCATAAAATATTTTAATAATGAAAAATGAGGAAATTGTCAAATGTGATGAGAAGCCAACTGTATTTTATGTCCATTGACCAACTTTGTGGTGTTTTCCCTATCAAGTAACAAAGATAATTTTACATTCCGCTGTAGAAACTTGGATCCATATTTCAACAAGGAATGTGATGGTTATAAGCCATCAAGTATTTTCCACAGAGCACACTTAATTTCCAAGAAAAAATAACAATGCAGCTAAGAAAAATCAAACAACCATTACCTTCAAATAGAATTGAAGTGAAGATCATCAGTAATGGAACTGAGTGACAACAGCAACTTTCAAGTGGATATCCTGGGAAGAACTTAGAAGTACTGCTGTACAATCCTCTAAGCATGGATTCTTGAGTCTAACCTTGATGGAAAGTGCACAAGTCCACACCAAAGGACATTCAGGAATATAAGTGGTTGTGATCCTCAAGACTGATAAGATCAGGGGACTGAAGAGGCTTTGGGAGATTTCCAGGGAAGAGGAGGAAAGGCAGATCTAAGAAAATCTGACCTAGACTGAACTATTATGTGACAAAAGACAATGGGGGATAATTGTCAGTATTTGACATGAGCCTAAGAAAGAATTAGACTTGTATATTAAGGTTATCTTCCTGGGATACGAATGCTGATTTCTTATTTGTTGCAAATAAATAGAAATACACAAGAGAGTGTGTTTCTTACTTCTTCAATTTGCTTCAGATGGTTCAGGGGAAATCTACTTTGTGTTGTACTTTTAACATTTCTTCTTGAAAATGTATGCATTATCCTGCCCATGTAATTGTAACCCCTCTGTATAGTATGTTCACAAATAAAATAAAATAAATTAAAAAAATTAACCTTAAAAAAAACATTTCTTCTTGAAATAGTTTCCCTTTAACAACTCAAACAGCACTTGTTGAGTACAGACTGAAGATGTTCTAACACCTTTAACAAGGTGGCTTTGTCTCATTTTTATAGGCATTAAAACCAGTAACTAGCCTGGCATGGGTACCTCACACCTGTAAAACTAGCTACTTAGGCTGAGATCTGAAAATCACAATTTAAAGATCGTTTAGGCAAGACAGGCTGTAAGACTCTTATATTCAATTAAGCACCAAAACAAAAAACCTGAAAGTGGAGCTGTGGATCAAATGGTAGAGTGTTAACTAAGAACAAAAAACTTAGGGACACTGCTCAAGCCCTGAGTTCAAGCCCCAGGACTGACACTACACACAAAATAACAATATTCCTGTTATCTTTTTTCTTTTTCCAAGTACAATTTAAGACCCTGGAACTGAATCCTGCATTATGAAAAACAGGAATCCCTGGTTCCTTCAAGACTCTCTGACAATAAATCCTCTATTCGTGGTCTGAGAGAAGCCTATCTGGGATATGATATGATCCTGAGTTGCAGAAAGAGCAGGGAGGAGAGTGATTAAGGATGAAGATGGAGGCAGTGTGATTAATAGTGTAATCAGACTACCAGCCTGCAAGTGATAATCAGAATTTGGGCAATCATTGTCTGACTGGACAGTGTCAGAAAGTACTCTGTGCACAGTGAGTGGTCTCAGAGGCACTTGTAACAGTTCAAAATCAGCTGATACTGATTAGCATCATTGGACACCTTCACATTTCTGGTCTCAATTTTTTTCTATAAACCTTAGTTACAAACAGAATTCTTATTTATGAAATAACATGTAATTCTCCAAAAAGAATAAATATGATGTAACGTGTGTGGGCACACATACAGCTGCTTAAAGCATATTGACCATCATCAGTACCAATTTTGATGCTATTGTCTTTCTTTTTTGGGACTGAAGTTTGTATTCAGGAATTCAAACAATCTTGGTAAATGACCACATTCCAGCACTTTGACTCTAGCACATTTTTGAGGGAGAATCTCACGCTTTGTTCTGAGGGTGCTCACAGAACACAGTACTCTTACCTATGCTTTCCATATAATCACAGTTACAGGCTTACAAGTGTGAGGTTTGCTAAATTTTTGCCCTGGATGCTGAGGAAAAACATTAAAACAACACTATTTTTTACCTGCCTCTATTTACATTTTATTGGAAAGGTGACATATGGAGGATTTACAGTTACATGAGTCAGGTAAATAGTACATTTCCTTTTGAACAGTGTCACATCTTCCCTGATTTCCTCCCAGTGTTGCCTTTTGAAATTTGAAATCATCTTTGGGACTCCTCATTTTACAGTATTGAGATCTCCATGAAGAGCACATGTGTCCAGTGAAATATGACATTTAGGGAAGAGTGAGGCATGGTGCTTCCATAATCATAACTAGCAGGAAACCAATGAACCTGACAGGGCTCACGTGACCCCAGAAGCACATGGCCTTTTGCTTGCCCTGGTTGAGATGCATTAGAAAATCTTATAGTGCAGATTTAAAGAAAAATGAATGAGACAAAGGATGCCCGTTTTCCCTTATATATGGAAGCCAGATTTAGCTTATAAATTTACTAGTAAATAGGTTAGTTGGTGTACAAATATATACAAATGTATTCATTGGAATATGGTAGATTCCAGGGAGCACTCAAATAGTATAATTCCTTAGAATGGTGAAGTCAAATTTAGCCAAAAAAACAGTAGAGGGCAGGCACTTGAATGGAATGGAGTGGGATCAAGGGCAAAGGGGAAGAAGAATGAAGCTGAGAAAAGGAGAATGCAGATAAGAATTCAATGAAAAGCCAGGTGCTGGTGGCTCACTCCTGCAATCGTAGCTACTCAGGAGGCTGAGATCTGTGGATCTCAGTTCAAAGCCAGCCTGGGCAGGAAAGTCTGTGAGACTATTACCTACAACAAACCACTAGAAAACTGGAAGTGGCACTGTGGCTCAAGCAGTAGAGCAATCACCTTGATCTGAAGAGCACAGGGACAGCACCCACACCCAGATTATAAAGAGTGCACAAAAAGTGGGTAGGGATGGATAGTGAGAACGTATTAAGGGATGACATTGATCAAGATGATTGTATTCATAACCTGCTTTTAAAATGGCAATTCTTTTGTACAGCTGCTGAAACATTAAAAATTGGGAAACAAAATTAATGATGGAATGGTAAAGTAGGTCCTCTCTGTGTATGGGTACTCATGGGACAGAGAGAGAATAAAACAGAGATAAAGTAAATATGGTAGAAATACTATATGAACATATAAAAATGTTTCTAATGAACATTCAGAGTTGTAATTGTGTAGTGATAGAAACCACATGACTCAGAAGTGATGGGTATGTAATGTGTAAAAGAGCCAGATCATGATTTTCAAGGAAGGACTGCAAAACTGTTCTGAATTAAAAGCAGACAGATCTAGGCCAGTTAAGGCAACCTGTAAGTGGGTCCTTTTGTCACAAATGCTGTTACAATTGTCAAAGTCAAAATGGTCTTGCAGTCCATAGGACATGATTTAGGATACCATCATTTTATTGGGTCAGATTAGGTAATAACCTCTTTTTAAGAAATTTTTAGGGTGTAAAACTATGTGAGCATATTCTGAAATGAATGAGAAGAAAATACATATTTTACTACAATTACAACCCATTTGTAAGGGTAAAAATATTTCAAATAATTTACAATACAAAATAATATTCCTGAATCATATCCTGAAATTATTCTTCTTTTGTAAGACAAATCACTTTTCTACAAATATCCAAGATAATAATGTTTCCTCAAGGATATGACCCTTAAAAAGCCATATGTTTCTTAATGCCTACCTAATAATTGCCTAAGTCTTGCTCTTGGTTTAGGGACCTCCATATTCTGTCCTTTGAGTGTGGCCTTATTCAGCAACCTGGAAGTTCTTACCAGTAATGATAAACATATTTGTCAAAGAGAAATTAATTTTCACTTCTTGCAGCCAAGCAAGATGGAACCAGAATTAGGATAAACCTAAAACCCTGGACTAGTCATGATCTATTGCAAAACAATGATTCCCAAGTCAGATTCAAATCAATATCACATCACTGAGTTTAGAAACATAGGAAGAGAGAAGACAGAGATAAAAAGCTCCACTAGGAATGTAAGAATGCCAGAAAATCCTGACACCTGATGGATCACAAAGGACCATATGAAAAACACAGTGTCTTCATTCAAGTTCCTATCTTCTATTTCAATTGGAGCCTTATAATGTCACAACAATAATCAGAGCATCTGGTCAACCAGAAAGAATATGGAAACCCAGAAAAAGTGGCATCACTCTTTAATATATTTCATTGCTCCCAGAAATTAGACGACTCACATAGTGCTCCTTCAGTCATTCTGACAGAGTGGACAATTCAAGTATCAAATTTCCTTTGGAGGAATGGGGGAGTATGATGGAGGGGCTGACACGATGTATTGAACTAATAAACTGATTTGGAGAATGATACCTTCTTATGCAAATACTTAACCTAATAAAAACATAATTTACAAGGTATCAATTATTTTCATCATCATTATCGTGTGGCAACAAAAGTTTCAAACTAATAAGTTCAAGCCTAAATTTCATAGACTCTGTGTGTTTCTTCATTGGATCTATCCTGTTCATAGGATAGATCACAGCAGTAGTCCATTCCCCAGGTCCACAGTGGGGCCAACCCTGCTGCAGGGAATGAGAGCTCAGTTGCTCCTCTATTTTTGTTTGACTTCAGGTTTGAAAGCCTGCAAAACTGCCCACATTGGCTTCTTCTGGCAGGTCCACTAGATAGTATGTTGATTAGCTACATAATGTTTAAGTGATGTTCTTGGAGTAAACTGGCTTCCCTTGCTCCTGTGTGGAATGGCTACTCTTGCTGATAGTTGTAAATATGAATAACAGGCAGAAAAGTGCACATTCTGGAATTCAAATTACACAGTTTTATGAAGTGTTAATGGAATAGATTCCTGCAAAGCTTTAAGAAACACATCCAACAAGGCCACTGCTAATTAAGCCTGCAGAAGCGTCCCCAACACCTGTGGCTTTAGTTTCAGGAGACTCTCTAGCGAAGAAAGATATTCCTGTAACTCAGAAGTATTACAACTCTGCAACAGTACAGATACCAGAGACCAAGGCTCTTGGCCTGCTGCCTTTCCTGTATGGACTATGTCACATTTGTATTTCTTGAGGATTCATCCATTGTGTTATCCCAAACCACCAATCTGATCTTGGATATAGATGCAATGCATATTTTCCCACATACAAATTCACATTTTGTGAAACATCAGGAGAAATACATGACCACAGAATACATTGCAAACATATTCTTTGCAAACAAAAGTTATTTATCTCAATTCAGATGATGGGGAAACCCAAACCCACTTGGTGGTTTTCCTTCAGAAGTCTCAAGTATAATTCCAGGACTAAATTATAATGGGAATCCAAAGGAGTATTTCATTTATAGACTTTTAAAGAAAATAATAATCTTTTTATTTGCAATAACTACTATAAGTTTAGGAAAAGCAGAAAAGGTCAAATGCTATGTACTTATGACCATATAAGATGATATTAAGTGAATTGTTTATAATGTATGTATAATGTACTATGTGATTTTGTTTGTTTCTTTGGTATGTTCTTCCTCACGGTATAACCCCTGTTTCACTGTATTTTTGGGGAGGGGAAGGGAAAAACAAAATGTTTAAATAGGGATACAGGTTGACCCATTGTAAAAATGGGTGACATGACACTATATTGAATATGAACTTTACAACTTCGGGGTGGGGGGAGGGTAGGTTGAGGGGTGGGAAGGGGTTGTGGGGTTAGTTGTAGTTGGAAAGGAAGGGATGGTAGGGGGAAAATAAAGGAGGAGGCATCAATGCTCAATAGGAAATGTACTCATTACCTAACTCATGTAACTGTAACTCCTCTGAACAGTATTTTTACAATTAAAAATGTATAAAAAAATTACTACTGACAGATTACATATGGGACTCAAGTTTTTCCTTACTAAATCTCCACAATCTAGGTTCCCCAGATCTTCCTTTAAGTCCAGATCTGTAAGTGTTTAACTACATGATTTAATACACTGTTACTTTGTTGCCTGTGGATAACTTAGAACAGAGCAGAAAAATGTGGAATGATGTGATCCAATAGAGAAGGCTGAGCAGATTGGGAGACCAGACATCATTCTCATCTCCCTTTAAACTCCCTTTCAACACTAGGCAAACTCAGTTTGTAGGAATGCAAGTTAGCATAGCCAGTATGGAGGACCGTAAGGATGTTACTAAAATACCTAAAAAGAGACATACCAGATGATTTGGCTACCCCACTCCCGGGAAAACATCTGAAGGAAATAATGCCAACATACAAAAGTGATATTTATAAAGGAATTTCTGCATATATAGATTTATTGTGATACTGGTATCACTAGAGAATATTTGAAATTGATCAATTGTGCTAGAATCAATTAGAAAGTAGTGATGAACTGGTCCATATATGTACGTATATCTGTGTATCTGTATATATATACATATGTATATATACAGAACATATATAAAGAAACATGAAGTCCTGTAATCTACAACAAAATGAATGGAACTGGAGGACATTCTGTTAAAATGGGCAAAACGAAAGGCCATTATGTATGGTCTTTCTCACTCAAACAAACTTAATTAAAATAGAAGAGTAATTATGTGGGACTGAAAAGGGCTCCAGATCAGGAGGCAGGAGGGTGAGCACAGGGGAAAAATAGAAGGACACGATCAATGTACATAATATATATTATGTATGTTATATTATGTATGTATAGATTATGTATATCAATATACATAATATATATGGAGAATCCCAGAATCTTCTTAATAGATACTGCTAAAATATGTTAATACAATAGGTATCAGAAAAGTAACGACTAAAATCTGAAACAATGAATCTGTTCTTTGTATTATAAACAATTCCTGGTGGTAGCTCATACATGTAATACTAGCTATTCTGGAAGCTGACATCTCATAATCCTAGTTCAAAGCTGGCCTGTTCAGGAGACTTTGTGAGGATCTTAGCTCCAATTTACCACCAGAACACCAGAAATGGAACTGTGGCTCAATATGTTGGAGTGCTAACCTTGAGACAAAGAACTCAAGCACCAAGGGTGACAATAACAATAACAAAAAACCATTGCTGCTTAGACTATCTATTACTTGTATTATTGTTTTATGAATCTCAACTGTTGACACAATTCACACTCTTCAAGTCTATATTGTCTATATATGAGCAGCTCTGTCAGCAGGTGGAGGCACCAGGAGGAGCAGCTGGGGCAGCCCAGACTCTCACTTCTGCTTCTCTGGGAGGTTTTTGTCATGGCTTATATCACTGTGGGAGGGTAACCATAACCATGTTGACAGTAATAAGTGGCAACATCTTTAGGCTGCAGGCTGCTGATGGTGAGAGAATAATCTGTCCCAGATCCACTGCCACTGAACCTGGATGGAACTCCAGATGCCAAATTATTACTACCATAGATCAGGAGTTTAGGGGCTTTCCCTAGTTTCTGCTGGTACCAGGCTAAATAGCTATAAATGTTTCCACTGGCTCTGCAAGTGATGGTGGCTGTGCCTCCTACAGATGCAGACAAGGTGGATGGGGACTGGGTCATCTGGATGTCACACCTCGCATCTGGCAGGGGAAACATGAAACAAATACCACATTATTAACCGAATTATAAGAAGGCTGTCCTGAAGAGTAAAGCATCATGGATCACACTGAGGAATTTTAATGCCCAATATTCTTTATCCTTACCTGGGAGCCAGAGCAGCAGGAGCCCCAGGAGCTGAGCAGGGATCCTCACGTCCATGCTGTGTGCTGACTGAGACAGACTGCTACACCGACTATGAGCAGCCTATGAAGAAGTCCTGAGGGCAGTGGGCTGTGCTGCTGGCACATGCAAATCATCAGCATCTGGACAAGGTTAAACACAACTGTACGGCTGCCTCATCTCAGTAGGTCTACACAAATTTGAGTCTCAGGAGACTTAGGTCAGGCAACAGTCTGTATTGTAGCCACAGAAGAGAATCAGCTCATTTCTTTCCTGTGAGTGGAGCACCACTGATCTTATTGAGGATAAAAGTCTCTTTTCTTTTTATTTCTTTATCTGAGACAAGACCTATCCATTAAAAGGTTAGTTCCAGAAATTTATAGACGTTTGCACAACACTCATTTGTCACATGCCTTTATTATCCAGAGCTGGAACTTTGGGAATTGCTCTGATTCACTGATCATCTTTATGTGGCAATTTGTCAGCACTGCTGTCCTGTAATGCGATCCTTAGAGATGAAATAAGAATGTGAAGCTATTACATTGATTAGAAAGTAGTTAAACTTGTGAATTGTGCAGCACAGCCTTGTTTTCTCCTATATCTCTGAATTCCTTGCATCAGCAGATACATAAAAGCAAGACATTTTCTTCTCTTCAAACTTGACCAATCTTTTCCACCATCCTAGGGGTGTGTGTAATTTATAATGTCCATTATTGAGGTCTTTATATTCCTTCTGGGTTTTAAACATCTTAACCAAAGCTACTGTGTTTGAATCAGAGATTCTTCTTGAAAAGAAAAATAAACTCGGGATATACTGAAGCCTACTGAGTTGCCTAAACCTACATATGTTCCTTTCATTTGGTGGTCTCTTCTATTTGAGAAGAGAACACTGTGTTTAACAGCTGGATTAAAGACATTGGGCCCAAGTAGAGCGAGTAGAACCATGGAAAGGAAGATCATGTTGGAATTTTTTAACAGAATCCAGGAGCCAGCAGTACATGGAAATTTCATTCATATTGAGAGGAGGCAACATGGGCTTAGAAGCAAGAGTGAGGAGAGCTGATTGTCTATTCCAGGGAGAAAGAGCATTGCCGGCTGCATTGAAGGTGCTGAGGTGGAATGAGACGCGAGGACATCCATACGGGCCTGTGCAGTTGTCAGGGCCCACAAGTCACTACTGCATGGGATGCAAAGTTGACTCATCTCAGCAGTGTTATGCCAGTCTGACCAATATATGAGCAAATATGTGAGGGGGTTGTATGCTATGATCATGTAAGTGACAGTGACAGCTGGTGTTTCTCATCATCCAAAAAAGTTGATCATGTGGCTAAATTAATGAGGGATCAATGGAGCCGACAGTCATACTCTTGAGGGAAAGAACTGTAATCTAACTACAGGAGAACTTTGTCTAAGAATGTATTTCAGAATAACCTATTGCTGTGCATGCAGGTGGAGAAATCACCATAAACTCACACATATATTTATGTATAAGACTAGATGAATGAATGTGTGGATGGATAATTTTTCACAGCCTAGAAGTAATGATGCTCTAGTTCCATGAATAGATAGCACCATCACTAAGGCACCTTTAAACTTTCTCCAATAAATGAAACAAGTGACCCTTGTTTAAATAATTGATTTTTTTTATCAAAACTAAGAAAGTGTAAGATAATTTTGGACCATTTTACGCCAGAAACAAAACAAAAATTCATGGTATGCGAGGTAATGGAAAAAGTGGAGAGAATCAGGTAGCAAGGGATGCCCACTGGCCAATTCAAGGGATTTTGAATACCATATAAACGCTAATATACACCATTAAATCAACTGTAAATCCTTGGATTCGCTATGATATTTTTATAAGAAACTGGATATTCTAAAATGATCAAAGACTTCTCCACACATTTTCATAAACTGCAAAAGGGAAAGAATTGTTATATAGCAGAGAAATGTGGCAGCCTTAACCTAGTCTAGAATTGAAATGAATATCACCAGTAATGATGATTCAAACCATGGGTCTGTTAAGAGTCACCATAAAAAGAACACAGTGGCACTTCTGGACTTTGATCATATACATGCACTACTGAATATAACCTGGAGGAAAATTGCATGAATCTAGTTTGAGAGACATTCAGAAACATGGCTGCTGTGCAGTCACTAAGAACGATAAGACCATGATTATATCGTGTTTTTTTCTTTCACGATAGGATGTAAAATAACATATATTCTTCCATTAGAACTTGCTCATCATTTGGCAATATTTCACTGGCAGTAGGCAGAGATTTCAGTTTATAGAAGAATGGAGAAACAAAAGGTACATCAAGGAGGAGCTCAAACAAAACTTAATCCAGGGGTTCATTTGTTATAACAAGATATGATTTTTTTCCTACCTCTCTCCTCTGTCCTCCTGTGTCCTACTTCTGTAATTAGGAGAAGGATTTTCCTTGCTGTTAACAAATTGTAGGACTGTGTATTCTCTTTGCCATGCACAGGCTTCTATCTACCACTAGGATCTGGTTCTCTCCATGAGGCCAAGACAGGTAAGATCAACTTGGACAGTCACTGCCCAGGGAATGCCCTCTCAAACAGGCAAATCAGCTGTCATGCAGTGGGATTAAATTAACCATCCTTAAAAGCAAACTGCCTATAGACAACAATAGCTATTTGTAGTAAGAGCTCTGAAGTGCATAACAGATGCATTGGAAGAGCAAACACATATGTCCATTCTTTCATCTATGATCAAGGCCATCAGATATTGATTAAAGAAGGAAAGTAAGTTACATTTTGAAGGAAGTATCATTATGAATCAGAGTGATATAATTGATCAAACATAATTTTTCTCCCTTTGCCTGTGAGCAAATCACTTAAAATGAAGATTGGTTCTCTTCATTAACAGAGATATTAAAAATGGTCTAAGAGGCTCTGTTACAAGGGGATCTGGGTTTGTTTTGCAGAGTCAGGATCTGGTTCATGTTACTCAGCTGTGTGTTTGCTGATTTCCAATTGCAGGGACATGATGGAATGAAAAATTAATATCCTTATTCAGAAGATGAGTTTGTTAAATGGGCTTCAGTGAGATCACATGGGACATTTTTAATGAACCACAGATCTTCTATTTTAACTTGTTTCCTCGTCCTCTCATTCTAATCATGCTAAGAGGTGAAGAGACAAAATGTGTTCCAAGAAAAACTTGGAAAAAATTATATTAAGTGAAGTAAGCCAGGCCCAAAGAAACATAAGCCCCCTGGTTTCCCTTATTTGCAATATCTAGCATATGTATGAGTCAAGTGGAAAAGGTCAGATAATGTGATATTAGGAAAATGAACCCTTAGATACGTATTTTAATGTTTTTTTATTTCATGCATGTGTTTTTAACGCATATATAAGATTATTTTTTTGTTGCTTTGTATGTCCCTCCCCCACAGTATAACCCCTGCTTTCACTATATTTGATGTCAGTATAACTTGTGGAGGAGATGGGGAAAAACAAGTCGTTTAAGGATACAGGTGGACCTGTTGCAACAATGAGAAGTACAAGTTGTCATGTCCAAAACCAGCTTTACAACGTTGAGGGGAGGGGGGCGGAGGAGAAGGATTGGGACTGGGGAGGCTGGGAAGGGATGAGAAGGGTAAACAATGGAGGAGCTGCAATGCTTGGTAAGAAATGTATGCATTATCCTGCCCATGTAATTGTAACCCCTCTGTACATTATGTTCACAAATAAAATAAAATTAAATTTAAAAAATGTGCCAAGATGCCCGATACCCACTTCCCTTGAGTAATAGTGTTGCTAGAGAGAGTGGCGAAAGGGGAGCAGGTAGGGTGGCATGGCTGGGGTCTCAGGAAACAGGACAGAATGAGAAGTATTTGTTCATTGTCTTGTCTTTGCATTAAAATGAGTGTTCTGTAAGATCAGAGCTTTGAGTCTACAAGTGCTCATGGTACTGTGAGGAAATGTAAGGGAGCTCAAGAACTGAAGGTATTTAAGCTTCCCCCCAGAGGGAGCTGTGGCACCTTAAATCTCTTGGTGACAGAGGGACTGGTTAGCATTTGAGATGTCATTGGGGAAACTAGTTGTCCTGAGGTGCAGCAATGAGAGGGATTCCTAAGTATGTGAGAACTCATTTTTGAAGAAGGTGTTTGCACTGATGGAAATCTAAGAAGTCTCTTTGGACGATCAGGATGTGTTAGCTAAGAACTCAAGCATGTGAGGTCATTGTGTTTTCTATTCTCAGATTCCCATTTGGTCTCTTTCATATTGCTATTGGGACATTATTTGTTCCATTATTTTCTTCATATATTCCTGTTTAGATGTTTGATGAAAGATCAGAAGCTTCAATGATGTTTAAACATTTCTAACATTTATAATCCATAAAATAACTACTTTGAAGTCTATTTAGCATTTGATGGTTGGTTACTGATGTCACTGATCTTTCTTAAACTTTTCATTCCAATTTATTGTTTGAATCTCTAATGAATTACCTTTATCTACATAGGATGACAAATGCCAGTGATGGGTCAGGTTTCCTACACTACAAGTCCATCCTGCTTCTTCCATACACCCTGGTGTGCGGGTTGAGAGTGCATTCAATGTGCAGCCAGGTCACCTCACTTCCTTTTGCTCAAGGCCTCTCTTGTGTCTCTGTCACTCACACGTGGAGTGAGGTTTCAGAGAAGAGTATTGAGGGGAGGCCTAGGAGGGATGGGGGAGAATGATGAAAGTGTGTCATACTTATAACTGCACTTGTACTTACAAACTGATTTGTTGAATGGTAACCACTTTGTACAACTACTTAAAGACAATAAATGTATAAGTAAAATTAAAAAAAAGCATTTTGCAGAACACTGGAATCAAATATTATCGGGGAAGAACATACAAAGAAATAGACAAAAAATGATCACATAGTACATTAAAAAGAACAGTAAGAAATATAAAAAAATTGTGTCCCTATCTTGGGGTTCATTTCACTTAACATCAGCTTATATGGTCATACATACAGAGCTTTCTTGTCCTAGGCATATACTAGTTATTGCAGATAAGGGAAACCATATAACTTATGATGCTTTGGGTC